TAAAACAACAATTGTCTGGCAGTAAAGAGAGAAAATTGGGTCCTAATTCACTAGGGTTCTTTGAAAAAAGAGAGCTCTATCCCAAATATTATTTCCAGATGTTGCTAGAGACATAACGCTTTGTGAGCAGGAATTATTTTTCCTTACACATAAATATAATTGTCCAGAATAAAAAACCACCAGCTTACTATATTTTGATCAGGTAGAAGAGTTTCTCCCACTTTAATACCTGATCCATCTGGGATCCCAGTGCCATGGAAATTAGAGAGGTGCTGAAGAGGGTCCAGGAGAGAGCAGTGAACATGTGGGCTGCTGCAAACTGCAGAACTCAGCCTTGGCCAAGCACCAGCTGCCTGGGAACACTCAGGTCATTGCCTCTGTGGCTCTGGTGGTGCCCTAATTCTCCTGTCCTAGAAGCCTTTGCTTGTCAGGGCTGTGAGACTTTGCTCCTAAAACAATTTCCAACTCCTAATATTCTCACATCCTCCAAACAAGAACTTCTCTCACTTTTCTGGAAGCTTTTTCTTATTCTGAAGATCTTTCATTTTAAAGCAAAGCCAAGACAATTCAAATTAAACTGTTGGCTGCCCTTTATCTTGACTGTGATTTAAAGACTTTGCTTCATTTCCCAATGCTGGTAGAAAAAAGATTAGAAGCATTTACAATGTATATTTATGAAAAGAAATGAACATACAAAAGGAGAAAAGCTGTTCTCAGCGGTGCCATATTTTTCACAGATTGTATACAATCATATTTTTTGTACTGTACTACCATTACTTAATAAAACATAGTTCTTATCCCTGTGCCAAAGACAGACAATATCTTTCAATATCCCATTCCTTACTCCAAAACCTTGATACTGGCAGCAGTGGACAGCACAATGTGGACCCCAAACCCCAATCCTGCTGCAGCATCCCACAGAGTTCAGCTCAGTAAAGGAATTATCTAATTCAGACCCATCTTGGAAGCACCCACACATGCCTGTCTTCTCAAAAGGAGGTGGATGGAAGGGGCATTGTGTGCTGCTCCTGGATCAATAGTTTTCCATGATTTGCATGGAGAGTGTGTACTAGTTAAGTAGAAAATTGAGATACTTGATTGTTCTTCAGGGTGGTAGGATGAGCACCAAAGCAGAAGCTAAAAGTCATTAATTTTAGCATCTTAAATTACTTG